TAGTAGTTCTTCTAATGTCGTTGTTCAATGTGTATACTATCCTTGTTCGATGTCTTCCGCAAAAGTTTGTAATATTGGTCATCTTGGAGTAAAACAGCATTGCCTCATGAGAAGGCGTTTACAGTTCTAGTCACAGCTAAACTCCAGATAATTTTCAGGGTAATCGGATGTAGAAAAGCAAAATCGGGATTATTTTACATCTTTTGTACAAATTGGAATTGAAGATAATCTGGGATATCTAATATCTATCTTAGGACTAATCCAAAATCACAAAATTTAAACGTTTCTTCTTCTTCTATATTCCACATCCTTTCTGGACATGAGCGTTCATGGCTTTAGACAATTTGCTACGACATTTGAGCCCTTACCAGTTCTTCTTTTTACGAAAGACAGTAAATAACCATAATGTTGACTATGATGATATAAACTTAAAATATTCTAAAAAAAAAAAAAAAAAAAACAGAATGGTATCACTCCTGTAAACATGTCCATAAAATATATAAGCTGAAGCAAAGTTTTGAAGGCAAAGATATTGAAATTTTATTGTCTTTTTTTGTGCGTTTTTTGTCCGAACATTCTGAAAGATCGAAAGTGTTTCCTTTACATGTGCTAACACTCGTCTTATTTAACAGAATTTTCCGCCTAGAATTTGTTGCGATTGTTGGGAATTTAGCTGAGACTTTTCATCTCTGCAGTGAAGAAAAAAACGAATTATATCTATAGTCGAAGATGTTGGGTAATTCGACTTGGTGCTGTGGTTAGCAAACTTGTCTCGTTAGATCAATTACGATTAAATAGCAGGTTCGATCCTTCCTAGGTTCCCAATACGTTTGACCTTGTGCCACATCTAAGCTACTTTTAGAAAATCATTTTTTCGGCACATCGATGTGGTGCAATGGTTAGCAAGCTTGTCTTGCTGGATCAAATTACGATTGAATAGTGAATTCGATCCTCACTGAATACCCCATACTTTTGGCCTTGTGCTACATATAATCTGCGCTGAGAAAATCAACATAACGAAAAAGTTAATAAGGAAACTCTTGAAAGGAAATGGATAATCT